TTCAATTTTTAATTTTTTGAGGTAACACCATATTGTTTTTCATAGTGGCTGCACCAGTCTGCATTCCCACCAGCAGTGTACTAGAGTCCCCTTTTCTCCACACCCTCGCCAACACTTGTTGTTTGATGATTTGTTGATGGCGGCCATTCTGACAGGTGTGAGGTGATACCTCATTGTTGTTTTAATTTGCATCTCTCTGATGATTAGTGATGTTGAGCATTTCTTCATATGTCTCTTGGCCATTTGTATGTCCTGTTTGGAGAGGTGTCTATTTAGCTCCTCTGTCCATTTTTTAATTGGGTTAATTCTGATAAATTTTCAAACTAACTTTTGGTCACAGATTTTCCTGGATATGGCTGGATATGCTTTGTTTCCAGACTTTTTTGCAGGACTTACATGGGTAATTTAATAGAAACTGGTGTGATTTTGTTAGAGTGCAATATAAAAACTGCTGACTCAGCTTTAGCCATACCAGCCTCCTCAGTGTTCCTGTGAGCATATTCCTGCCTCAGGGCCTTTGCACTCACAATTTCCTTGGCGTGGTATGTTCTTCCCTCAGGTATCCCCATGGCTTGCCCCATCTTCATTTAGGTACCTCGAAATGTATGCTTTTTGTCCTGGGCCAGATGATATGGTTCTTTCAAATGTGTCATAATAATCCAAGTTGTTTATGTGCATTTAAAAAAGATATATAAATTGTGTCACATGTGTATTAAAAATTATAGTTGAATTAAATGTCCTTTGAAATATTAGCACTGTAATATTTATGTAAAAATTTATGGCTCTTCCTAAAATGACAGCTAATTCTATGTTAAGGAAAACATTTTATTAGAGCCACTTTTTTTCATATCTGTTATTTGAAAGTTACCGTGTTAGGTTCTGTGCAGGTCTAATGATATTTATGATGGAATCCCTGCCCTTTAGTTTACAGTGTCCTTGGAGAACTATGGTGACAGTGATGGTAACAGGTAACATTTGAGCACCTGCTTATGTGTGTCAGGCACCGTTTTAATTGTTTTATTGAAAGCTACATATGCATGAAAGCAAATGAGCACGTGGAGACAGTGTGCCTTTCACTTTGAGAAGCTCGGACTCTGGGTGTTGGAAAGGATCTTGTTCAGGGTTATGAACGCCGGAAGGATCTCACTAATGCTCTTGCCAGGCATTCCCACGGGACCTCCACGGAGGTGTGCAAGAAGGGCAGGGCTCTGAGCGCCCGGAGGAGCTGACGGTGAGACAACCGTGCGCAGCTGTTCGAGGTGCGGGAGCTGGGGGACAGCACGGGGGGCCAGCTGATGGCCAGGCTGTCTGAGGAAGCCTACCAGATGGTGCGAGAAGCCCACATGAAACAGGTGCTGTTGGAAAAGCCTTTCAAGGGAGCGTGTTGCAGGATCGACGTTTCACGTGGGGGTGAAGGCCTTGAAGACGCTGGTCATCACTTCTACACCAGCCACCAGCCACCACCCATGAGCAGCACCTGCAGCTGCTGCACCACGAAACCTGGGCCCTGCCAGGGCCGAGAGCATCAGTAGCTCCCTCTGCCCAGCCCGGTGCCCCACTGTGGGACATGTTCTTACCCCAGACAGGGACAAAGAACAGGAGCTGGACGTGACCCTTTGTGCAGACCCCCAAGCCTGAAGGGACTCGCTGACCCTGGAGAAGCCCCGCTCCTTGCCGGGAAGGGTGCGCCATGAGCATGTGGGCTCCGGCCGGGCCGTCGCATGCGGCGTCGCTGGCGCAGGCACAGGCCTCTGGAGGACAGCGCGCTCACCGGCCAGCTGACGCTTTGCAGGTGCCACCTTCAGTGGGGCAGCCGCAGTCAGGTGTGGCAGCGCCCACATAGGTGCCCACACCTGCCACGGCCACATCCGGCTCCGTCCCCCGATAGGTCTCACTGTCCTCTCAGGCCTGGTCACAGCAGTGTGCCCTTCGTCTCCGACACCTGCTGCGCCCTCAAGCCCAGGCGCAGCGAAGGCGAAGCCGGTGTTTCGGGAGCTCGCAAAGCTGAAGAAGGGAAAGTAGCTGGTCCAGCTTCCCTCCCTAGGAGTCCAGGGCAGGGCCGGCCTGCAGGGCGCTCTGGGCTGGAACCACACCTGCCCGGGGGGGACAGAGGCAAGACACACGAGGTCCTAGAGCCCGAGCCAGAGTCAGACGTGTTCCCGGGAGGGGCAGGGCTGGGGCCTGGAGGCCGCACTGAGCGGGCAGCACATTCTGTCCCAGGGCAGATGGAGGGACACACTGTCTGTCCTCAGGAGAGGACCTGTCTTTCTTCCCCTTTGAGCCCTACAACTTCCAAAGAGACTGAAGAAATCACGAACGCCAAGGAGCTCGGAGCCTTAAACTGTCGCAGTGGAGTGAGGGCGCTTCTTGCCTCCAAGGCAGCCCGCTGGGCCCAGCTGCGGCTCCTGGGCAGTCTGGCGGCCGCTGCCCCTGCCCCTGCCCCTCCAGAGCCTGCCCCTACCCCTGCCCCTCCAGCGCCTGCCCCTACCCCTGCCCCTCCAGCCCCTGCCCCTCCAGCACCTGCGGATCCAGCTCTTTGGCTGTGGGACAGGCCTTCGTGCACTGAAAATAGTAACCGTCTTCTCGGGGTGGGTCCTGGCACTTTTGCAGCAAAGCTAACCTTAATGGGGTGCCCCCAAACGAGGGAGGGCAGCAGCCGTGTCACTCTTCCTGCCTCACTGTCTTTCCAGGTGTGCCTGAGCTCCTCGCAGGCAGAGGCTCTTGTTCCCTTAGGGTGTTATCTCCAGCATCTCGCACTGGGCTGTGTTAAAGAGTGAAGAGTGAATGCATACTCACCTGGGTTTGGAATGTTGGCTTCCAGCCCTGGCCGGTTTGGCTCAGTGGTTGGAGTGTCGGCCTGCAGACTAAAGTGTCACGGGTTCGATTCCGGTCAAGGGCATGTACCTGGGTTGCGTTTCACTCCCTGGTCCTGGTCGGATCATGCGGGAAGCAACCAATCCATGTGTCTCTCTCACATCAATGTTTTTCTCTCTCTCTCCCACTCACACTGTATCTGAAGATAAATGGAAAAATGCCCTTTGTTGAGGATTAAAAAAACACATGTTGGTTCCCAAGCTCAGCTGGTATAGGACCCTGGGTCTCGTGGGTTCTGGTGCTGGGCTTTGCTGTCATCTCTCTCCGTCCTCCATGCCTGCTCCCACCTTACCACAACCCTGCTCTCTCTGTCCCCTCTCAGCAGTACCCCTCAGTGACGCAGAGATAGGTAAGAGCCGTTCGTCTGACCTTGGTCCTAATGTCTTTGATGGGGAGAAATGAGGGGACATCTGATGAGCACCTGGGCAGAAGCCAGCGTGGAGCATGAGATGGGGGAGGGGGCTGGGGGGGAGGCTAGAGCAGAGAGGACCAGGGCTTGGCCTGACGCCGCGGCCGGCTCGCCCAGTATGTTTGACTCCTGGTGTAACGGACAAAGGGGACGATCGGGAGTAAGAGCAGACGTGTTCTTGAATGTTGGCTGAGCATGACAAATGGAAGACCTGATCACCCATTTGAAGATGTAAGATTCTCATAGAACCTGTCAAGTTTCCAGGGGAATATGAGTCAATATTTCACATGTCCGCGTGTCATGCTCTTTAAGCAAGAACACTGAGTTCATCTTTGTGCTCCCAGAATTTCTTTCTTTATGAAATTGCATATAATAGATGCTCAACAAATGGTGAATTAAATGGAACAGGAGACTTAGACCTAGATCTCAAAAAGCATACAATCCCTTTGAGGGAACTGAATATACTCACCTGGAAACTTCAGTAAGAATACATGGCTGTGTGTGGTCAAGTGTGTAATGAGCTCTCAACATACGACGTCTCTATGTAAATTCAGAGACCTGTAGTGTTGTGAGGAGATTGAGATTAATGGCTCGTTGTCGGATTAATAGCTGGAGTTCCAATCCCTGTTCTATTCCTGACTGGCTAGATGTGCTAGCAGGTTACCGAAACTCTTCTGGGGCTGGATCTATTCTTCTGTAAACGGCACAACACTATCCCCCAGGGCTCTGGGGATCGAACAGAGAGGACAGGCAACGTGCTGCATCTTGTCTTTATGCTGCCACAGGTGAGAAACGTTTCCTGGGGTCGACGAGGCTGAAGCCAGGTCCCGAAGCACAGGTAGGATTCAGGCAGGTGGAGAAGACGGGAACAGTGTGAAGGTCTTTGGCTCCTAGCCAATGAGCTTATGACCCACCCGTGATGAATTCTAGCTCTGACATTCAATTCGCTTGGTCACCTTTGGCAAGTCTCTGAACTTCTCTGTGCCTCGTTTTCCCTGTTCTAAAAAAGAGGTTGTTACAATCACAGAGCTTGGTCCTCGTTGGTGCTCAATAATAACAGTTTCTCTTATCACAGTTGTAGCTACTGCCTCTGCTGTCCTCGTCCTCATTGTTGTCGTCGTCACCGTCGGGGCGGGAGATGGACAGGAATTTGCTCTCTCGGAGCTGAGGACTGTAGGGAAACAAGATTTATATTTAGGGAAGGTCATGCTTGCGAAATCTCTTCAAATAAAAGAACTACTAGAAAAATGGAAAACATTGATAATGATTACAGGGATTTAAGCTGGTTATGGTGTCCAGGACATGGGATTATTCTACAGAGCAAATTGTAGAAAGAAATTAATGAAACCAGATTGTATTTTTACATGGCTGTTTTCTTACTTTCTTTTTTAAAGGGCCCAAATTTGGGTGTTTTTATTTTATTGCTCTAAAACCTGTTATAAGATATATACATAGTATAAAAAAAGGACCATACTCGACAGCTTGCCACTGTGACCACATACCTTTGGCATTAAATTTGAAAATGTTAAGTTGCTGATGCAGGGAACCTCAGTAACACACTAGAAGTATTTTTATTAAGCCAGTAGACATTATTTTTATATTCCATAAAAGAAATCTTGTTGTCCTTTGCGTTTTGGTATTCATATCAGCGTTAGTGATCATTTGCGTATTTTCAGCTACTAATAAGCATTTTTCCTAATTATTTTCTCTCTCTTAGAACGATACCGCATTCAGAGCGAACAATTTGAAGATCTTTGGCTCATAACAAACGAGCTTATTATCCGCCTTCAAGAACATTTCGAAAAGCAGGGAATCAAAGATTTTGCATGCTCCTTTTCTGGACCCTTGCCCCTTCAAGAGTATTTCGAGTTGATCGATCAGCACTTTGAGGTGCGTACGATGAGAACCCACATCATTTACAGTGAGAGAGAGAGAAAGAGCTGCCGCAGCAGCAGGAGCAGAGGGACCCGCTCTCAGGCTTCACGTTGCTCCTCTTGTGCGGACGGAGGATTCTGCGACTCCGTGCCCGCCCTCTTGACCAGTTTGTGGTCAGTGCAACATTCAGAGGGACTGCCGGGAGCTAAGCACGTGGTCTGGCCTCAGAGCAGAGCTGGTTGAATTCTGCCACATGGGGACTTAACCCTTGACCCCAGTCACGCAGTGTTGAAGCTGTCGGAGCTTATCGGCAGCCCTTCGGCTAACTCATTCTAGCAAGCCATAAACGAGTGCTTATAAAATGAAGGGATTTCTCCTTTTCTCTTTTAACAAGCACACCAGAACTTCTGCGTCTGAGTGAGGTCAGCCACGTGAGGTGTTCTCCAGTAGCCGGCAGCACGGGTGCTCCGTAAATGCTAAATGTCCAAATGTCTGAATAAGTGAGATCTGACGACGACTTTGTTACCTGACTATTTTTTACATTTCTTCTTTGGAAGTATCTGCAGAGCCTGTTTAAATTCTCTTGACTGTCTTGATGGGGTCAAATCTTCATCCTTTGAAGATTGATTTGATATTTGGGAATAGTCTAGCGTAATGTTTTGTGAATGAATTGGACAATGGCAATCATTGTTTTAAAAGTCACATGTGTTTAAAAAATTCACCAGGCTCTACTTACTTATTTGCCTATAAATAGACTTTGGAGGCAATTACAAAGGGGAGTTTCAGAAAACCTTTGAACACCATTCAAGGGAGCATTGGTTCTTAGAGTGACTACTTTTTAAGGACTCAGTAGTTTTTTTTGCATTTCTGTTTATAAACCATAATGTGTGTGTGTGTGTGTGAGAGAGAGAGAGAGAGAGAGAGAGAGAGAGAGGGAGGGAGGGAGGATATGTTATGTAACTAGCCAGTCACGTGAATATTCTACCTGATTTCAGTCCCTTTCAACATTCTAAAGGCATTGATGTTGTACTGTATTTAAAGCCTTCTTTAAATACAGTGTGAACAAAGAGGGAGAAATTCAGTGCATACAATTTAATTAAAATAACATATCATTATCAAATAAAGTTGAACTTATTTGAGTTTCTCTTATATATGCTTATATATTATATATAATGCTTATACGTTATAAGACAGTATGCTTTTGACCAAATTGTGGCACCCAAATTGACAGTTTGGGGAATACATTTAGGAATTTAAGGATTGATAACCTTTGCCATTCTCTAGGATATATTGGAAGAAAATCTTCCTTCACTGGGCAAAACTGGGGTCTACTGGTTTAAGGAAGAGTCCACAGAAAGACTATACTAGGTGTTACCGGACCACCTCTGCGCTGGGGGCTGCCCTGTCCTGGCATGGTCTGGGACCTTTCACGTGTCAGGCGACCTTCAGATCCTTTAATTGCCCAGGAACAATTTCAAGGACAAATCAGAGTGAGAATAAAAGTTTTATTCAGGAAGAGAAAAAGAGATAGCCCAGAGCATGGACACTGTGGTGAAATAAGCAGAAAGTATGAGTCTGGGTGGACACGTGTCTGCTTGAGAGTGAGCTGCACACCTTGGAAGTCTGAAGCAAGTCAAGAAAGTTGGATTCCCAATAGAAAGACAGAAGTCTGAAAAGAAAGTATGTCTATAGAGAGCCAGAGCATAACAGGGAGGAGCGTGAGGGTCCATTTGGACACCAGACCTGGACTCATCAGGCCCTGTCACCCAGGAGTCACCTGGGGATGGTCATGTGGGCAGGATACCCCATGTCCAGAGGGCAGACGTACCTGTGGTCTTAGTGCTGATGAGGTGCTTCTAACAAAGGATTCACTTTGCAGCTCACAGGAGACTTACCCCACACCAACGATGAGAAGTGACAGCCAAGATGACTTAGAGTGAGAGTAAAGAAGAGAAAATAACTGTAGGTCCCGTCTGGGTCACCACAAAGTATGTCATAGGAAAGGACCAGAGCCAAGGTGTGTCTGCCCCGGCATGGTCTGGAATGTGTAAACCATTTGCTCCTAAGTGTCCTTGGTCAGGGAAGATGATACTGTAATTTATTAGCTGGCTGTAAATTGCTTGGCCTTTATTTACCTGTCTGCCTCATTCCATTTGGCAAGGATTAATTTTCCTAGCTTCTTACTAACCTGTCTCACTAATTACATTTTTAAAATATTTAAAATAGAAAATATCAGATTTTACTTGGCTATAAGTTTAACATATAGTTTCCCCCTGTACTTGCTGGGTAGTAAATCCCTGGACTGTCTACCTTAGGGGCGTTTCCTTCCTGGGGAGGGAGTAAGGGGATATGGCAACCTATAGGCACCCATTTGTTATACCAATTAAAAAGCACATGGTTATGCTTCTTTTACTGGCCCCGCTCTCTGTGTTTTTAAAGGTAAGATTTTAAATTTTGAATTAAGATGGCTTTTGGAATCCAAGTGTCTCTTAGTGTAAGGCAGGTATATATGTCTGTTTATTTATTGCTGTTATTACTAGCACCTAGCACAGTGGTTGGCCCTGGATCAATAAGTATTTGTTAAATGTTGCAATTCTGGTACATGAAACCATTTCGATCACTGATGTTGGATTACACATTCAGTGGAATGCTAACCTGGCTGATATCTCAGTGTAGAGCATCTTTTGCATTTTTTGGTGTTTCATGAATACAGGAAATATTAAAGAGAAAGTAATGCAATTAAAAGAGTGAATTATTGATATAGTCATTAATGAAATATATATATATTAATCCTCACCTGAGGATATTTTTCTATTTTATCTTCAGATAGATTGGGAAGGAGGAGGGAGAGAGCGTGAGAAACATCGAAATGGGAGGGACACATCAACTGCTTGCCTCCTGCACAACTCTGGCCAGGGCTGGGGATGAACAGCAACCAAGGTATGTGCCCTTGACTGGAATCAAACCTGTGACTCTTTGGTCCGAGGGCTGACGCTCTACTGCGGAGCCAACCTGGCCAGGGTTCGTTAATGAAATATTATTTATTTATTTTTATTAATTTTTTTCTTTATTGATTTTAGAGAGAGAAAGGGAGAGGGAGAGAAAGAGATAGAAACATTGATGAGAGAGAACATCAATTGGTTGCCTCCTGCATGCCCCCCACTGGGGATCTGGCCCACAACCTGGGCATGTGCCCTGACTGGGAATCGAATCGGTGACCTCTTGGTACATGGGTCGACACTCAACACTGAGCCACACAAGCCAGGCAATGAAATATTATTTTTTAAAAATGTATTTATTTAAAAAATTTATCACAACTTTTGGTAAAGAAAGCTTTTTCCCCCTTCAAGAGAATATTCTTGTATGTATTTGGTTCCTTATTGCTTCTAAAATTGCTATTAAAAGATGTTAATAAAATTCCAAGATTTTTAAGTCACATTGTGGAGAATGCATATAATGAAAAGGAAGTTGGGTTCGATATCAGAAATGTAAACTATACTGTGTTTGATTTCTGAACATTTTGAATATATATATAATCCTCACTCAAGGACATACAGAGAAAGAGAGAGAGGAACATTGATGTGAGAGAGAAACATTGATTGGTTGCCTTCTGTATGTTTCCTGACCTGGGATCAAACCTGAAACCTAGGTATGTACCCTGACCTGGAATCGAACCAGCAGTCTCTTGGTGCACAGGATGAGGCTCAACCAACTGAGCCACTCCGCTGGGCCACTTTGAATACATTTATTTCAGAACTAGTTTATGACTTTTATAAAGTTGAATATGGGGCAACTTTTGGTCTCTAGTTTCTTGTGTATCTTTCTAGAACTATGCCATGTAGTCACAACTGTGTTAACGTACATATTTGTTTTTTTAAAAATACAGGAATGGTAGCACATTGTACATACTATTGTGTTTTGTTTGTTTTTTGCTTTGTTTCATTCAGTGCATCTTTGGATAGCTTTCCCTATCAGTACCCAGTAGTTCTGTGAAGTAGTCTTCCTTATTTATTTAACCTGTTCCCCTATTGATGAGTATTTTTAAAAAAAGTTTTTTTCTTTATTGATTTTTAGAGAGAGAGAGAAACATCAATGAGAGAGAACATCGATTGGCTGCCTCCTGCATGTCCCCCACTGGGGATTGGGCTCACAACCTGGGCATGTGCCCTGACTGGAAATCTAACCGTCTACCTCTTGGTGCCTGGGTCGATGCTCAACCTCTGAGCCACACCGGCCGGGCGAGTATTTTGATTCTTAATAACATCTTACTATAACAACAAAGTATTCTATAATGGATATTCTTGTGTGTACATTAGTTTTTGCAAGCATACCCATAATATAAATTCCTTGAAGTGGGATTGGTAGGTCGAACAGAGGCTGTATGTCTGAGAGCTTATTTGTATTAACTTTTCTGTAAATTTTGTCCATTTTTCTATTAGGTTGTTACACTTTTTCTTAATGATTTGTATCGGGTTGTGGTCCTTTTCTCATTAATTTGTAGGTGCTTTTTAGATATTAGGGACTGAATTTTTATTGATCTATTCTACTGTATCATCTATGTATTCATGTACCAAATACCACTGTTTTAATTCCTTTAACGCTATGATACATTTAAATTTCTTCATTTCTCTTTCAAACTTTTATTGGCATTTTCTGTAGCTTTACTTTATTTTTATTTTTATTTTATTTTATTTTATTTTTTAATCCTCACCCGAGGATATTTTTCCATTTTTTGTACAGATAGAGTGGGAAGGAGAGAGGGGAAGGGGGAGAGAGAGAGAAACATCAATGTGAAGGGACACATCGAGTGGCTGCCACCCGCACGACCAACCAGGGCCGGGGACAAACTGCAACCGAAGTACGTGCCCTTAGCGGGAACCGAACCCGGGTCTCTCCGGACCGCAGGCCGACGCTCTAACCGCTGAGCCAAACTGGCCAGGGCTGTAGCTTTACTTTAAATATGTTTTGTTTTGTGCACATTTAACCTGAATTTAAGACATTCTTCATTGTAGCTGCGGGTAAACGGCGAGAAGTTGGAAGAACTCTTATCTGAAAGAGCAGTGCAGTTTCGGGCCATCCAGCGCCGGTTGCTAACAAGGTTCAAAGATCAGACGCCGGCCCCGCTCCAACACCTGGACACCTTGCTGGATGGAACGCACAAGTGGGCAAGTATAACACCCGCGATGCCCTCCCCACAGTCTGTTGATTTTGAAAGGATGAAGCAGATTCTTTTTTCAGTTAGCTTCCCTAGGGGGAAGAAAGGTAGCTTACTACATAAACCTCAACAACTGTATCGACAAACCATTGGCTTCTTGAAATCCTCATGGTGATTTGAAAAATCAGCATTTTGCGCCACAGTCTACAGCAGCAGTAGGCGACTCGGGAAGGAACGCTGGGCTTGGAGTCCAAAGTCCCCAGTCTGTCACTCATTAGCTGGGTGGCTTTCTGCAACTCCCCTACCCTCTCAGAACTGAGTTCCTTTCTGTAAAATGGGGTGAACTCTCCCGTGCTGTTGCAGAGATTCTGTCCCACAGTGCGGGAGGAAATGCTGGGTGAGTTGCTCTGCAGGTGCAGACAGCTGGCTGTCCTGGGCGGGAGCCGTCCTGTGCCCTCTGCTAGGCACAGTGGGTGTTCTGGACCACACTTCTGTTCTCTCCCCGGCACACTCCGTTTTGGTTCGGTTTTCATCATTTTCTTTTTCCCCTCCTCCTCCTTCGTATCTGTCTGTTGCCTTGCCTGTCCCCTTCTCAGGCTCCTCCCACCCTGTGTCTTCCACACGGGGCCGCAGACACCCCAGTTTCGTCTTTCACGGGGCAGGACCTTTTTGGGGACACAATGGCAGAAGGGTGTTGAAAGGGAGATGATGGGGATGCTTGATCTAATGCTTTCCATATTATCTAGATCGCAAGATTTCCTTTGTCTTTATACATTTCAAGTGCTGGCGTTTTATTTATTTATTTTTGCTTAGCCTCAGGGTTGGGTTTTTCTGTACTGTTACAGGAAAGATGATCAAAACCATGGGTTTTTACTCGAATCTACATTTTAAGTCTCCATTCTTTTTAGATTAAGAAATAGAGAATACCAAGTTTTCAAAAGAAAACTATAAATACTATAAGAACTTTGACTTAGTTTTAATGTAATTTACTACTCAATTTTATCATATTTGCATTAAATTATAGTGAGATGGTATTCTCTATTTTAATTCTTTTTCATAAATTTTTAATGACATAGTCCATGAACATAATTTCCCAGTGAAAATTGTAAGATTATACACAATGCTAAATTCTCCAGCTTGGTTTTTTATCATCTCAGAAATGTAATCAATGTTATATGTTTTTGTGTCTTTCTAGACCTTTTTTTTTTCATCCAGAAGTGAAATATTGTTTTGTAAGGCTAAAAAACTGTCCATAAGTAGTGTCACGCCGTACGTATTGGTCTACCTCTTTTCTTCCTTCCTTCTCCCGGGGCGTGAGCGGGGCTCGTCCCACAGTCCCGTGCAGATGCTTCTCTGTCCGTGGTGGCTGCGAGGTGTTCTATACTGGCCACTCGGTCGCGTGGACCAGCCACCGTTTGTTAGAGGATAAATATTAGCGTAGTTTTCACATGAGGTCCGACGCTGAGATAAATCCCCTGTAGACAACTCTGTTGGGACCAAAGAAGCATGTGACATACCCCGCTTTCCCAGACCTTCTGTTCCGCGTGCGTTTGTCTTTTCTTCCCACTTTGCCCGGAGCGTGGGCATGCCCTGCTTGGCGGGTGAGCCCGACCACGAAAGAATGAGCCTCGCTGGAGCCTGACTCTCCGGGGCACGACTCCAGTGCACGACTGTCATTAGGTCTTGAAAGTGTTTTCCCAGGGTACCCGTTTGCACTGGGGTCTGCCTGGGTGGCGTCCTTGTTGTCTCGTGTGCAGGAGCTCCCCATTCTTCTCTGAGGCCTTCTGTGGGCGCAGGGCCGCATCCCTTCCGCCAGGAGCAGCGAGGTGGGTCCTGGGAGCCGTGTGGTGCGGTTGCCTCCTGTCCCGTTTATCAGTGTCGTCTGGAAGGAACTGCCCGGCCACCATTCAATACGCGGTGAGAACTGGCTTACGTGACACTGGAGGCAGCAGCCAGTATCCTGAAGCTGGTGTGGAAGCTCTCTGAAGGCAGGGCCTCTTTTCTTTTTCTGTCTTATCCACCATCATATTCTTAGCACAATACATTTCTTGCCTCCTGACAGGTACTTAATAAATATTTGTTCTGTGCTCGAATGCTTTATTGCCACTAAGTAAGACAATTCCTTGAAGCTGTGTGTCCGTGGCAGGGTAGCACTACCAAGACCGGAGCAGCAGAGAGTTCTTCCGATTCAGGATGGTTTACTCCAAAATCCTGAAAAGCCAGTAAAACAGGAAAACTCTCTCCTCTTTCCTAAATAACAACCTAAACTGTCAGCTAGGAAGGTTTTATAGCTGCGAACTCTTGACGGACAATAATCTTTCCTGTTGTGACTTGGTGAGTATGTGTGTGCCAGAGTCAATATGACCTAGTCACCTGCTGAAATACATCTCTGCACAGAGGGCGTCGTTGAGGTCAAACCGCTTCATATTTTAAGTGAGATGGGGATTAATTGGGCTTTTTCATTATTAATAGTTACCCAGAAGCATGAAAAGCTTGATTCTCCTCATTTCTTATTTATGTAATAGTTGAGTTCTTCCTCTCGGAAGGTATCTTTCAACAGCTAGGATAGGATAGAAATGTAGACCTGGAGGAGGTTTAGGGGTCTGATTGGTGATGATGGTCCAGGAACTGCAGCGGATTCCAATGAAGTCCTAAGACACACCGGAGTGAAGCCCGGGGCCCTTCACACGCGAGGCCCTGCTGAGTGACTGACGTGCGGTAGTTGGACCGCTGTGCTCCTTTGCAGCAGACTGAGCGAAGGTGCTCTCCCAGGTGCTGAGGTCAGCTGGGCTCCCTACCTCTTCACTCGATGACCGTAGCCACTGTTACTATTTCAGCACCCAGAGGTCAGCTTACCAGACACGAGTTGGCAAGGCCAGTGCGGCCTCTGTGTATTCTGCCTCCTTGGTGTTTCGGAGCAGCTCAGGGGACCACTAGCTTATACAGTGAGCCTGGGAAGTAACCGCTAATCTTCCAGTGACCTGGAATTCAGGTGCCTTTGATTCCCATGCATCAAGAGCCCATTAGAGAAAGCCATGCTTCTGAGGTTGCAGTGGGACATCCAATATTGTTTCTTTAAGTACATACTAATAAATACTCTAAGGTTTGAAGTAGCTCATCTGATGTGTCCTTGCTTGTATTTCAGGCGTAGTCTGTGACCTTGGGCAACTAACTTACTTAGACAGATGGACAGGAAACCAAACCTTCCCACCTGTAGCATGGTTTCTCCTCCCTGGAGTTGTTGTGAGGATTGAACTATGTAAACACAAAAATTGCTTAGACTGTGCTTGGTACACAGTAAGCTCTCAACAATATTAACTACAATTCTGAGGACTGTTCTTCATGTTGATCTGACTGAGAAGTTAGGTCATTGCATTGATCAGACAGACGAGGTCATCATAGTCCATCATCTTTCTGAACCTCTGCTCTCCGGCAACCCCACAAATCTAGACCTCAGCCGAGAACCGAGAAGATCCTGGACCTGGCTGGGTGGCTCAGTTGTTTGGATTGTCGTCCTGTACACCAAAAAGTTGTGGGTTCGATCCCTGGTCAGGGCTTGTATGGGAGGCAATGTTCGATGTTTTTCTCTTACATGAATGTTTATCTGTCTCTTCCTCTCTCTCTAAAAATCAGTAAAAACATATTTTTGGGGGATGATTGAAAAAAAAAAAGAAAAAGAAAAAGATCCTGTATCCTCAGGGGCATCCCAGCCCCTCTAACACACCTGCCTGCCTTGGCAATGTTTGGTTTCAGAGAGGATCCCAAAAGGGAAGGGACATCAGGTCCTGAGGTCAAGTGGCCATCTTCCCCGGATCCACGATTCTTTCATCAGGACGTGTTCCTACAAGGAGAGGTGCTCAATCAGAGATATTTCTCGCTCTTTCTCTCTCTCTCTCTCTCTCTCTACACACACACACACACACACACACACACGCACACACACGTTGCTTTGAAGAAATGTACCAAATTAAAGTTTCATCAGACGTATAAGAAAATGTCTGTTTTCTAGGTATTATTGTTTTGATCTTCACTATTTTTAACTGAAACATAATTTGATTATTATTTTACTCTTCTTTCTTGGTTTGCCCGTGAGATTGAGCATTTTAAAAATGTTCACCGGCCATTGTCTGTTTCTGCGTGTGACTTACATAGGTATGCCCTTTTTATCAGGTGGTTCAGCTCTTTCTTGCTGTTTTGTGAATATTAGGAGTGGCAGTCTTTTATCATACTTGTGTCACTCATAAAAAAATACTTTGTATATATGAGGACCATAATCTCTCTTCATATATTAAAAAACTTTTACCGATTTGTCATTTGCCTTTATTTTTATTTAAAATGCTTTTTGACATGTAAAATTGAAAAAGCATTTATGTAGTAAAATCTATTTATCTTTCTTTTTTAGGTTTCTCTGTCCAGGGAAGCCTTCCCCAGGCCAAGAGTACACAGACATAGACCTGTGATTTACTTTAACATTTTACGGCTATCAGTCTTTAAACACTTTTAAATCCGTGTGGAATGTATTATGCAGTTTAGTGGGAATCTAATCTCCTCGCCAAGAACGGTGAGCTGGATGGATGTCTCAGCCCCTGCTCGTGCCGTAATCCATTGTTCTCCTACTGAACAAAAATACTACTTATCATTTAACACTCTCACTGTACAGCAAACCACCCCAAACCTTAGTGGCTTAAAACAACAACAGTTCGATATTGTTCATGAGCCTCTGGCATCACTGGGCAGTTCTGTAAACCTGGGCCTCGCATGACTGATTTTGACCTGCTCACTCAGGTATCTCTGGTCAGCCGGCAGCTCAGCTGGGGACCAGATGGCCCAGGATGTACTCACTCACTATCTGGCAATTGGCTGGTGACTGGGGGGATGATTGTGCTACATGTCTCTCCTGGCCCACACACTGGCCTGGGCTCGTTGACATGGTGACTGCAGGTCCCAAAGCACAGTGTTCCCCACGCCTGTGCCTGTGCCGTGTCTCTTAATTCCCCATTGGTCTGGGGC